AGAGTGAAAACGTGTAAATATATATTCTTCCGACATCACCCCGACAACATCTAGTAGATAAAGCGGAAAAAGAAAAAGAAAGTGCTGGAAAGAGAGTTCGATTAAAAATTTTTTTTTATCTTTTACATCGGTCGCCTAAAAATATAAAGAATAAAAATAAGAATATTTATGTCTTCGTTTACACCGGTGTGAAGACAGCAGTAAAACATAGCAGTAAAAATTTCCGATGATACCCGAACGCCCATAGACGTCCGTAATACCGGACACACGGGGGCTCAATTTTTTCGAACAAAAAAACATTACATTATCAACTTAAGAAGTTAATTACAGTATATTAAAAGTAATTAATATATATTTATCACTAATATCAAGGTACAATCAGTTAAAATAACTGGCTCCAGCTCCCTTATTGGTTCGAAGATCCGCACCAAACTTTATATACGCCTTCTAGACATGATAAGAAATATATTTATCGAAAGAAATTTCACTTGCAAAGGGTCCGCGGGGGTGAACTACCCCGCAGTAGATTATAATTTGCTCTACCGCCCTTATTCGGTCAAAGATCCGAACCAAACTTTACACAAGTGATCTAGACTACCTTAGAATCAAATATCCGTTAACAATTTCCACTTGCATAGGGACCGCGGGGGTGAACTACCCACCAGTAGATTTTAATTACCCCTACCGCCCTTATTCGGGCGAAGATCCGAACCAAACTTTACACAAATCTTCTAAACTACATTAGAATCAAATATCCGTTAACAATTTCCACTTGCATAGGGACCGCGGGGGTAAACTACCCACCGGTAGATTTAAATTACCAATACGAAGGGGGGCGTTGACACAAATGGTCAAATGTGTCAAACCTATATAGTAACTAGAAAAACCAGGAGGTCGACTTTATCCTTTCGGGTAAAATTATATGGGAAATAATTAATAAAAAACGCGCTAACAAAATAGACAAAATTAAAGCCAAATTCGATCCAAATGATGTTAATGATTACTTTATTAAGGTACCTCTTGAACTACTAAATGGTTTAAAAAAGTCCAACATAAATGATAAGTTTGATTGCCTTTTGCATAAAATTAATGTTGCTGATTGTGGGTTTTCCATTGATCAAGCAAGATTTGTTGAGGTTCGTGACATAATAAACTCGCTAACATACATGGATGATTGCCGTAGGTCCTTTACAAACCATAATATACTGACCTTTCCGTCATTGTACATTTTGGAATGTGTAATATTTGTAAGGCGAAATCTCGACGACTTTATTAGTCATGACACTTTACATAAATATCGGACTAGAAACGGTACCCAACTGAGACCGACCTTTTGTAGACTAGGTCGAAGTCAGTGCCATTTTAAATTTCTTTGAGTAAAATTCTATAACAAAATACCGAACGACATTGCTCGGTTGCCTCCTGAACTGTTCAAGAATAAATATACTTGTACGACACCATATACTTGCGTGACTTTGGTGGTTAATGTTAATGTTTTTGTTCTGTAAACAACGGGATGTTCGATGATTTTTTTGTTAAGTACTAAAGTTAAGACTGCTGACGTATTTATATAAATATTGTTAACATTTATACTAAATAAATTCGAATTTGAATCCTCTTTTTTCAACAATAAATATGGCAGGAATAAATGCCCACATTTTGTACAGTTTCAGCGACAAAACAAAAGCAAAGCCGCAATTTAGAAATGATTTTCTAAAAAATTTGGCATTGAAGATGAACGGATTTTTGATTGAAAGAAGCCAAATAACTACCCTGAACCAACAGGGTAGTTAAAACCCAAAAGGGAAAGCTCCAAGAACCAACAGATATAGACACTCCATCGACATCGCAGCAAACAGATCCACATTCAAGAAAAATCAGAGAACGATGCCAATTATGTGGTAGGGCTAAAAATAATTATACAACAAAAAAATGTGATGAGTGCTATGAATTTATGTGCAAAAAGCATCTGATTAGACAACAAGTTTATCTCAAATGTAATGATCCCAATAATTCAGATGACTCATAATAATATTAATTTTTTTTTAAATTATTTTAGAATGTCTTAAAATTGTCAACGGATATTTGATTCTAAGGTAGTCTAGATCACTTGTGTAAAGTTTGGTTCGGATCTTCGCCCGAATAAGGGCGGTAGGGGTAATTAAAATCTACTGGTGGGTAGTTCACCCCCGCGGTCCCTATGCAAGTGGAAATTGTTAACGGATATTTGATTCTAAGGTAGTCTAGATCACTTGTGTAAAGTTTGGTTCGGATCTTCGCCCGAATAAGGGCGGTAGGGGTAATTAAAATCTACTGGTGGGTAGTTCACCCCCGCGGTCCCTATGCAAGTGGAAATTGTTAACGGATATTTGATTCTAATGTAGTCTAGAAGATTTGTGTAAAGTTTGGTTCGGATCTTCGCCCGAATAAGGGCGGTAGGGGTAATTAAAACCTACTGATGGGTAGTTCATCCCCGCGGACCCTTTGCAAGTGGAATTTCTTTCGATAAATATATTTCTTATAATGTCTAGAAGGCGTATATAAAGTTTGGTGCAGATCTTCGAACCAATAAGGGAGCTGGAGCCAGTTATTTTAATTAAAATTGCTGATTGTACCTTGATATTAGTGATAAATATATTAATTACTTTTAATATACTGTAATTAACTTCTTCAGTTGATAATGTAATGTTTTAAAAAAAACATTAAAACTACACAAAATTGGTAAATTCACTTGTCAAATACTCATCAGTATCATAAGAGGCCTTATTAATCAAATAACCTTTAATTTTTTCTTTAAATTTTTGCAGTGGAAGGCTCTTGATGCTAGATGGCAGGGGGTTATAAAATCTCACCGCATAGTAATTGATACCATTTCTAGCTTTATTCGTTGCGGCAACCAGCTACTTCTTTAAGATACAACAAGCAAGATAATATAAACAAAGAGGGCAATGTTAACATCTTTAATTCAAGAAATTTACTTTTACAACAAGCTCTGTAACTCAACCCCGCCAGTATCCTCACGCACCTCCTCTGAACACCAAACACCTAATCAGCATGTGCAGAATGTCCCCAGCACAATATTGCCTACGACATATGTGGAAAAAAATAGCCGTAATACGCTTTCATTAGTACTTCGTGTGAAACCATTGCTCTGATATTACGAATCAAGAATATATTTTTATTTAACGTTTTTGTTAAGTGCGCTACATGATCAGACCAAGTGAGGTGGGAATCAAGAAATACTCCTAAGTACTTCACTGGTTCACTGGGCAAATCAATATGTCGGAGTGAGAAAAAAAGTGTTTGAGTTTTTGATTCATTGATAGTAAGACGATTAGAATCAAACCATTCCAAAATATTTCTTTCAGAATCCTTAGTTATAGCTTTTACATCTGCCTCCGAATTGCATTTATTTATAATGGCAGTGTCATTAGCGAACAAAATCATATGTCTCCTTAGCGATGTTTACCATCGTTTTTCGTATAAAAATTAAAAAAACGCAACTATTTGCATGGAACGATGACTAATTTATTAAAAAAAAAAGAATATCGGTGCTACAGACTGTTTCGGTTACTTCATGTAACCTCTCTTGGAGAACGCAGCTCGTTACCATTGATTTTTCGATTTTTTTAGAATTAATTTAAATAGAAGTTCAATTTTCAAACATATAAAGTTTTTTCATGAATATAAAAAGTTTTTTTTGCATAGAACGTACACTATTTATTACTACACAACACATCTCCTCTCTGCTAATGTTTAAACCGGCCCATACACGGTGATGCAAAACTGTCACATTTGCACGCAGAGCTAATGCACACGAGCAAATGTGATCGTCTATGTCTCAAAACTGACGACGCTGTCAGGTCTAGACATGGCACGATACGATCTGGTTGAGCTTGATTTTGCACGGCCCGCCGCGTGCAAGTTTGTACGTGTGGAGATAGTTCATGCCATTCTTCTCAGTTTTAAATTGATCTTCGCAAGAGTAATATTAAAATTATTACGAAATGGCTGTGCGTAAGCAAGAAGATGTTATGCGAGATTTTATAAGTGTTTATCAAAAAAATAGTTGTCTTTGGAAAGTGAAAAGTGCCGAATACATGGATCGAAATAAAAAGGATGAGGGTTACCAGCTACTGGTGGAAGTTTTTAAGCAAATAAACCCTGCTGCGAACATTGACTTAGTAAAGAAAAAAATTAATTCAATGAGGAGTTGTTTTCGAAAAGAATATAAAAAGGTCATAGAATCCAAAAAATCTGGTGCAGGCAGCGAGGACATCTATACTCCTTCTTTGTGGTATTTTGATTTGTTGATGTTTCTTAAAGACCACGAAGTCCCCAGAAACAGCATAGCAACCGATGACCCTGATTTCATGACTAGGCAGACAGGAGTAAGTGAAAAAAGACGTTAACAATTTACTTTGTATAATATATAATTTAATATACAGTGATAAACGTTTCAAAAGTAACGGATAAATTCGATAAAATTATTATAAACAATTTATGAAAAAATCGCGCATCAAAAAAAAGAAAAACGCAAACAGAAAATAATATATCAAAATAACATGAAAGATGGAAAACAATAATACTTTTGAAACGCTCTGTATACATAATTTTTATATAATTTACTATGTAAATCATCCTGTTTATACAGAGTGAAAATGATGATGATGTCGATGATATTGAAACAGATATCCCACATCCTTCTACGCCAGATATGCCACCAACACCTTCATCAGCTACCTCTATATCATCAAAATCATCTACAAACAAACCACGTAGACAAAAAAAAAGTAAAGTGGATACTGATAGTATTCTACAAGTCGTTGGAGAAAAACTCCAAAATTCACGAGCCGAAGATGAATTTGATATTGTAGGACGAAATGTGGCAGAAAAATTGCGAAAATTGGACCCTAATATGAGAATAATTGCGGAAAAATTGATAAACGATACCTTGTTTGAGGGACAGTTGGGAACATTAAACAGATACGCTCACATTATCATTCCACAAGTTTCTCAACATTCAACAAAGCAACATGCTCATCAGCCATTCTACAATTATCAGGATGTTGATTCCCAAGTGAGCACGCCGTTACCAACTGGGCAATATTATTCTCAATTCTTAAGTGAATAATGTATGCCTACTATTTTTGTTTTAATATATTTTTTTAAATTATTGTTGTTTTAAATAAAGAACTGTAGAAAGTTTTATCTATTTTATTCATTCGTACAGCAGGGTTAAGATACATAAGGACACGATACACTATATATGATAACGAAACAGTGTTATGTAAGTACATTTTCAAAATTAACATTTCCACTATTCTTGATATGTAACACGATCATGTTGCCAAGGTACGCGCCCATCATCAATAAAGTACCTTACAAAACGGTCTCGGACGTCTTTTGCTTGTTGGGTTGCGTGACGATTATATGAACGTTGCAACGGGACGGTTCTTTTATTTTCTGATTCAGAACCAGGAATTGTAAAGTTTGCACGTATATTACTATCTGAAGTGAGTGACGTGCCCAAATTTGGATCACATTTTGATCTTAAAAAATTTTGAAGCACACAACATGTTAATACCACTTTTTCAATCTTATCTAGTTTCAAATTAATTTCGGTGTGCAAAATGCGAAATCTGGAAGCTAACATTCCTAATGCACATTCCACCGTATTTCTTGCACGGGACAATCTATAATTATAAATTTTGTTTTCGTAACTCAACTCTTTTCGACTGAAAGGTTTTAGAAAATTAGAACGTAAAGCAAACGCTTCATCTCCTATAAAAACAAAAGGTAACTTTGTTTCAGTACAAANTGTGCAAAATGCGAAATCTGGAAGCTAACATTCCAAATGCACATTCCACCGTATTTCTTGCACGGGACAATCTATAATTATAAATTTTGTTTTCGTAACTCAACTCTTTTCGACTGAAAGGTTTTAGAAAATTAGAACGTAAAGCAAACGCTTCATCTCCTATAAAAACAAAAGGTAAATTTGTTTCAGTACAAAGTACTTGTCTTTCTGCCGGAATATTTAGAAGATTATGTATTAGTTTGTTGTAAAAAGTTAGTAAAAAATTAGTCTGCCATTGGTACCGACGTCGACGAGCAAGAATTCACAATTGCTATTTACAATACCTAACAAAACTATGCTGTAATAGTATATTAAAAAACAAGTTTCGTAAGACACGCTTGAAATGCACGAATTCAAGTTGAACAACGAGTGGCGAAGCCACGAGTTTTTTAATGAATGAGTGCTTTAAGTCTTATGAAACGTGTTTTTTATGCTATTTTTTGTAATTCGCCTTTTTATCCTTTTTTTTTTAACAAAAATAAAATAAATGTTGACAATGTAGGGAAATAGGTATGTAGCAGTTGGTAACAACGTAACACTTGAAAATAGAAATTTGAATGACAAATACAAACTGTCAAAACACAAAACGTATTCACCTGATAAAAATGTTTCATGTACACCTCCCAAAATAAGAGAAATTGCTCAATGTTCAATGTCCTCATCATTGTGGACCTTGTATTTGATGTTAAGAACGCGTTTAAACAGCCATAGACAAACACTGTCACATTGACAACTAGAAAAATTAATGACCCAATGTCACCAACTTGAACTGATTCCATAAAATGTTACTAAAATCTCATTACAGCATCGGATGCTGTAAAGAGTGTCATTACAGCACCCGTTTGAGTACTGTAATAGCTTTCATTACCGTCGCGAATTACAAAAAATCCTTTATAGTTATAGAAAAATGATCCGCTATTCGCTGGTCGTGCAATTCTGATGTGCTTGCCATCCACTGCGCCTAAACAATGAGGAAATTGCCATTTTTCTTGAAATTCCCGCGCTATCTGTATCCATTGCGATTCAGTCGTTGGAAACTATAAAAATACAATTTGATATTTAATATAAGTAGTTGTTTTTTTTATAAAAGTGCTTACGCTTATGTAATCTTTGCTAAGAACTTGGCAAATTGCTGCACATGTATCAGGTATGATTTTACCTAATGACTGAGGTGATATGATTGCAGAAAACTTTAAGTCTTCAAAACACCGACCAGAAGCTAGAAACCGCAATGTCGTTGATAACCTTTCGTGAGGACTAATAGCTTTTCTCATTATCGTATCTTCCTTTTCTATTAGCGGCACTACTAGATGTAGTAGTTCAATATATGTGTTTTCATCCATGCGCAAATAATTCCTATAGTCATCGACTTCTAACCGTAATTCGTTCAGTAAATTCGCGTGAGAATACTGTTTCCGTTTTTTCAGCCAATTTTTTACCCATTTTGTTCTCTTCCTTTCTTTCTTCTTCTTCACTACTATTGCGATAGCAGTAGCAATTAAATATAAATCATTTTGTCGTATTACATTCATTATAGTAACAAGTCACACCTTTTAGTCACAACTCACTATGAAACTGATACTAAAACTGACAAGTAAATTTGAACCGTGTGTTCCATCATTTTCGTTTCACATTTGCTCGCATGCAAACATGCTTCAGTTTTGCATCACCGTGTATGGGCCCCTTATGAGTGAGTGTGCCACACCCCGGCCACTCGCGTCGGTTACATTTCGTGTGTATGCAGTTGCCTACACAACAGCTAGGTTCCGTTGTGGAAACGAGGAGAGAGCTAACAGATACTGGATAGCCGATGAGGAGAGGTGGTGTAGGCTATGCAGGGAGGAATGGGAAACGTTGGAACATATGTTGAATGGGTGCAGTGAGTTGAGGGAGGAGGACTTGGACCGAGGGCAGATCTTAGGAGAGGGGAAACGATGGATGAGAATGGTTGTGGGGGTGAGGAGACAAAGGGATGGATGAGGGGAGGAGCCGAGGGTATGGAAATGGAAGAAGAGGGTAGAGAGTGAAAATAATATACTAATAATATATATTAGAATGTATTAAGGGGAAAATTGTAAATATCAAAAACAATTAAATGCTTATTATATCTATTTGTATTTTTGAGGCTATCCTAATAACTGTTGACTGTATCGAATTATTCTATAAACAAAATTTGTTGAGAATTACATTACAAACAACTTTTATTAATAATAATTTTTAAAATAACATAATTTTAATTTCCGTTTAAAAATTATGCTGACATTTTTCTCATTTGTTGTCTCACATCTATTACTGCTGTAGCTGCATAACCGTATTAGTCCATTAATAATTGATTATGTTTACGACTATCTTAGGTAATCGATTTTTTTATAATGTTCTCCTTGCATTGTTCTCTACGAAGCCATACCAATACAGCGAAGAAACGCTCTAAAAGTTGCTTTATTTCGCCCACAATCAAAATGTTAAAAACATTCGGTTATTATCTGTTTGAAGAAAAGTTTCGCAAATATCATGCTTGGACCACCTCGCGGGGACTTCGAGGATTCTTCCCAACAGTTTTGATGTTAGTCCATTTTGTTTGGGGAATTTATCCATTAATAATCGAAATTAAAAGTAAGTGATTACTAAATATATTACTTCTCGTTAATTTTTTTGTTGTAATGCGTAGATTACCAAGTTAATTTTGGACCATGCTTAGTTCACATTGAGTATAGCATCACGGGTGCACTACTTTTATTCAACAACGTTCAAGTGTTACGGAATCGTGATGGATTATTCAAAATGATTGATTTATTCAGTGATTTTAATCACTTTGGCAAACCGAAAATGAATCCATTTTTCGTAAAAAATCTCAAAATTTTATTGAAGTCGATTCGTTTTGTAGCATTTCTTACTGCGCATCTCGTTGTGGCAATCTTACTTACAGATGATGACTGTATCGCTTTTAAGAGTACTAAATATTGTTCACTAATCCCATATTACCTACCATTTGGTGCAAAACGTTGGGAAATAACGTTGGTAATGTTATTTCATGTATACGTAATTACTGTGACGTTAAATATTTTATTACTGATAATATTGTTGTATTGCTATTCGCTGGACTTGATAGTTGCGCGTATTGAACACCTTAACGAGATTATTGACGAAGTAAATTTAAGTGGGAATAAGAAAAACAACATTAGTACTTTGCGAGAAATAGTGTTACATCAGCAACACATATTCAAGTAATCAATATTATTAATTTGCGCCATATTGTATATATATTTAATAAGACTTTATTTTAGGATGTTCCAATTGGCTTACAATTTTTTTACAAGCTTATTCGTACCAACAAAAATATGCATTGAAGCTGCTGTATGTTTATCTTGCACTGATTTCTTTTTGGTTTGTATTATTAAATGCTGCATTCACCATCTAATTAGCGCAAAATTTTCAGAGGAGAAAGCTAATAAGTTTTCTCGTAATGGTATTCAACTTCTCAAGTGTGTTTCTAGTAAATACAATTGGACAAAGACTTACCACAGCGGTTTGTATAATTAATTCTTACTCTTTTATTCTATATAACAAAGTTTTTACCGGGTTATATGATAGAGTAATAAACTTGAGGAGGCAATTTATGATTTAAACTGGTATGAAGCCGACGTTGAGACGCGAAGATACGTTTTATTTTTGCTCCTTATCACCCAAAAAGAACTGAAAATCGAGTTGCCTTTGTTTGGGGAGCTTTCGCATAAAGCGCTGGCAAATGTAAGTAAAACAACTCAATAATCACAAATATACTCAATGATATTTTTAAAGGATTGCAAAAAGGATTATATATTCATTAATTGGCTATTGACGATTACGACACCGAGAAACATTTCAATCTAATTTTAAAAAATATTACTTAAACTTTAAAAATCATACCGACTTTATTTATAGGAATTAAGAAATGTCTTTTATCTTAAAGAAAAGCTTAAACTTTAATCTTTAAGTCTATGTATAATAAGTAATACGTTTGATGATAAAGTTTGTTTGTAAAATCGAAAAATGTCAATGTTTAATTATGGGAAGAAAGGAAAATATTTGTTAAACTTTAAAAAATCATACCGACTTTATTTATAGGAATTAAGAAACGACTTTTATCTTAAATTAAAGCTTAAACTTTAATCTTTAAGTCTATGTATAATAAGTAATACGTTTGATGATAAAGTTTGTTTGTAAAATCGAAAAATGTCAATGTTTAATTATGGGAAGAAAGGAAAATATTTGTTAAACTTTAAAAAATCATACCGACTTTATTTATAGGAATTAATTAACGACTTTTATCTTAAATTAAAGCTTAAACTTTAATCTTTAACTCTATATATAATAAGTAATACGTTTGATGATAAAGTTTGTTGGTAAAATCGAAAAGTGTCAATGTTTAATTATGGGAAAAAAGGAAAATATTTGTTAAACTTTAAACAATCATACTGACTTTATTTATAGGAATTGAGAAACGACTTTTATCTTAAATTAAAGCTTAAACTTTAATCTTTAAGTCTATGTATAATAAGTAATACGTTTGATGATAAAGTTTGTTTGTAAAATCGAAAAATGTCAATGTTTAATTATGGGAAGAAACGAAAATATTTGTTAAACTTTAAAAAATCATACCGATTTTATTTATAGGAATTATGAAATAGCTTTTATCTTAAATTAAAGGTTAAACTTTAATCTTTAAGTCTATATATAATAAGTAATATGTTTGATGATCAAGTTTGTTTGTAAAATCGAAAAATACCAATGATTAATTATCGAAAGAAACGAAAATATTTGCTAAACTTTAAAAAATAGTACCGACTTTATTGGTAGGAATTAAGCAACGACTTTTATCTTAAATTGAAGCTTAAACTTTAATCTTTAAGTCTATGTATAATAAGTAATACGTTTGGTGATAAAGTTTGTTTGTAAAATCGAAAAATGTCAATGTTTAATTATGGTAAAATCGAAAATATTTGTTAAACTTTAAAAAATCATACCGACTTTATTTATAGGAATTAAGAAATGACTTTTATTTTAAATTAAACTGTAAACTTTAATCTTTATTTCTGTTTATAATATGTAGTACGTTTGACGATAAAGTTTGTTTGTAAAATCGAAAAATGTCAATGTTTAATTGTGGGATGAAACGAAAATATTTGATAAATTTTAAAAAATCATACCGATTCTAATTATAGGAATTAAAAAACGACTTTTTTCTTAAATTAAAGCTTAAACTTTAATCTTTAAGTCTATGTGTAATAAGTAATACGTTTGATGATAAAGTTTGTTTGTAAAATCGAAAAATGTCAATGTTTAATTGTGGGAAGAAACGAAAATATTTGTTAAACTTTAAAAAATCATACCGATTTTATTTATAGGAATTAAGAAACGACTTTTATCTTAAATTAAAGCTTAAACTTTAATCTTTAAGTCTATGTATAATAAGTAATACGTTTGATGATAAAGTTTGTTTGTAAAATCGAAAAATGTCAATGTTTAATTATGGGAAGAAACGAAAATATTTGTTAAACTTTAAAAAATCATACCGACTTTATTTATAGGAATTAAGAAACGACTTTTATCTTAAATTAAAGCTTAAACTTTAATCTTTAAGTCTATGTATAATAAGTAATACGTTTGATGATAAAGTTTGTTTGTAAAATCGAAAAATGTCAATGTTTAATTATGGGAAGAAACGAAAATATTTGTTAAACTTTAAAAAATCATACCGACTTTATTTATAGGAATTAAGAAACGACTTTTATCTTAAATTAAAGCTTAAACTTTAATCTTTAAGTCTATGTATAATAAGTAATACGTTTGATGATAAAGTTTGTTTGTAAAATCGAAAAATGTCAATGTTTAATTATGGGAAGAAACGAAAATATTTGTTAAACTTTAAAAAATCATACCGACTTTATTTATAGGAATTAAGAAACGACTTTTATCTTAAATTAAAGCTTAAACTTTAATCTTTAAGTCTATGTATAATAAGTAATACGTTTGATGATAAAGTTTGTTTGTAAAATCGAAAAATGTCAATGTTTAATTATGGGAAGAAACGAAAATATTTGTTAAACTTTAAAAAATCATACCGACTTTATTTATAGGAATTAAGAAACGACTTTTATCTTAAATTAAAGCTTAAACTTTAATCTTTAAGTCTATGTATAATAAGTAATACGTTTGATGATAAAGTTTGTTTGTAAAATCGAAAAATGTCAATGTTTAATTATGGGAAGAAACGAAAATATTTGTTAAACTTTAAAAAATCATACCGACTTTATTTATAGGAATTAAGAAACGACTTTTATCTTAAATTAAAGCTTAAACTTTAATCTTTAAGTCTATGTATAATAAGTAATACGTTTGATGATAAAGTTTGTTTGTAAAATCGAAAAATGTCAATGTTTAATTATGGGAAGAAACGAAAATATTTGTTAAACTTTAAAAAATCATACCGACTTTATTTATAGGAATTAAGAAACGACTTTTATCTTAAATTAAAGCTTAAACTTTAATCTTTAAGTCTATGTATAATAAGTAATACGTTTGATGATAAAGTTTGTTTGTAAAATCGAAAAATGTCAATGTTTAATTATGGGAAGAAACGAAAATATTTGTTAAACTTTAAAAAATCATACCGACTTTATTTATAGGAATTAAGAAACGACTTTTATCTTAAATTAAAGCTTAAACTTTAATCTTTAAGTCTATGTATAATAAGTAATACGTTTGATGATAAAGTTTGTTTGTAAAATCGAAAAATGTCAATGTTTAATTATGGGAAGAAACGAAAATATTTGATAAACTTTAAAAAATCATACCGATTCTATTTATAGGAATTAATAAACGACTTTTTTCTTAAATTAAAGCTTAAACTTTAATCTTTAAGTCTATGTATAATAAGTAATACGTTTGATGATAAACTTTGTTTGGAAAATCGAAAAATGTCAATGTTTAATTATGGGAAGAAACGAAAATATTTGTTAAACTTTAAAAAATCACACCGACTTTATTTGTAGGAATTAAGAAACGACTTTTATCTTAAATTAAAGTTTAATTTTTAATCTTTAAGTCTATGTGTAATAAGTAATACATTTGATGATAAAATTTGTTTGTAAAATCGAAAAATGTCAATGTTTAATTATGGGAAGAAACGAAAATATTTGTTAATCTTTAAAAAATCATACCTACTTTATTTGTAGGAATTAAGAAACGACTTTTATCTTAAATTAAAGCTTAAACTTTAATCTTTAAGTCTATGTGTAATAAGTAATACGTTTGGTGATAAAGTTTGTTTGTAAAATCGAAAAATGTCAATGTTTATTTATGGGAAGAATCGAAAATATTTGTTAAACTTTAAAAAATCATACCGATTTTATTTATAGGAATTAAGAAACGACTTTTATCTTAAATTAAAGCTTAAACTTTAATCTTTAAGTCTATGTGTAATAAGTAATACGTGTGATGATAAAGTTTGATTGTAAAATCGAAAAATGTCCATGTTTAATTATGGGAAGAAACGAAAATATTTGTTAAACTTTAAAAAATCATACCGATTGTATTTATAGGAATTAAGAAACGACTTTTATCTTAAATTAAAGCTTAAGTTTTAATCTTTATTTCCGTGTATAATATGTAATACGTTTGATGATAAAGTTTGTTTGTAAAATCGAAAAATGTCAATGTTTAATTATGGGAAGAAACGAAAATATTTGTTAAACATTAAAAAAATCACACCGGCTTTATTTAGAATAATTAAGAAACGACTTTTATCTTAAATTAAAGCTTAAACCTTAATCTTTAAGTCTATGTATAACAAGTAATACGTTTGATGATAAAGTTTGTTTGTAAAATCGAAAAATGTTAATGTTTAATTATGGAAAGAAACGAAAATATTTGGGGGACCGGAAGTGGCTACCATCTTGAAAATACTTTAGATCGAAAGGTCGGTATGAACCTCCCACATAAACCAAATTTCAGAAATGTAGATGCAATGGAACAGAAATACAACGGGTGTTGCTGACTTTTTGGCGGACACTGTATATATATTTATATTTTTGAGGTTATCCTAATAATTATTGACCATACCGAATTATTTTATAAACAAAATTTATTGAGAATTAGATTACAAACAACTTTTATTGACAACATTTTGTGGTAACACTAAATTTTAATTTCCCACAAGATTTGATCGAAAAATGTTTCATCCAATATTTGTTTAGAATGTGATTTTATTATTAATATTTATTAAAATAACTTAATTTTAATTTCCCTGTGAACAGTACGATTTGATTTCCTCATGACGTTCTAATTTACTCATGACAAAATTATTAAAGAGAGAACTTAAAGGATGAATTAAATCAATTAATAAAGGATTACAAATTAAATTAAATTAAATTCGACCAATTTGAATCTGATAAAAATCCTTATTAATCTATATCCAATTTCTTAAACGTTCCCTCAATCCCAAATATATCCCCCATATTTTTCGGCTTCCCCTGCCTTTTAGATTCATCAGCAACTAATTTCTCATTTTGAACGAAAAAATCCATATTTTCCGTAACGTTTTTCAACATTTCTTGGTGTAATTCCTTAAAACTTCCCAGTTTCCCTCCGTATTCATTCGGCAAATCATCCTTATTAATGTAATCGTGTAACCCTTCCGGAGTACGATGTAAATGTATCTATAATCATAAAAATGTAATTAATTTGAAATTTAATTTATTATTAATTTTGATTTTTACCATATCAAATAATTCTTTTTTTATAAACGGCTTTAAAATGCCAAGAAATTTCTCCGTGGTCGGTGATACATTTACGATGTGAATCGCTTTTAAACGAATCGGTAAAGCTTCTTGAACGAATGTTAGGTGTTTTCGGCTGGATGTTAAGTTGGCTTTCATCATGTGAGCGAACCCGAATCCTTCGGAATCCATGATCATTGCTTGACCATCAGATGGGCCTCGCTGCATTAAAGTTAATGTTCCGACCATATCGATTACTTTTATTTGGTTGTTGTAGTCGTAGAATTCGGGACTTGAATCGATTAAGCGGGTTATCATCACCGAATAATTTTCTTTGGTTTTTTTCGGGAGAACCGTCATACATCTAAAATTAAAAATTCATTAATATATGTTAATATATAGATTTAATGATGTTTTCTTGGAAATTTCAATAATATCATCTAATAGTATTTATATCATATCGTAATCTAGAATCTTTAAGCTTCAATTTAATATCCATATCATATCATTATTATTAAAAATACGNTTGTTAAACTTTAAAAAATCATACCGACTTTATTTATAGGAATTAATTAACGACTTTTATCTTAAATTAAAGCTTAAACTTTAATCTTTAAGTCTATATATAACGAGTAAAACGTTTGATGATAAAGTTTGTTTGTAAAATCGAAATATGTCAATGTTTAATTATGTGAAGAAACGAAAATATTTGATAAACTTTAAAACATCACACCGACTTTATTTATAGGAATTAATTAACGACTTTCATCTTAAATTAAATCTTAAACTTTAGTCTTTAAGTCTATGTATAATAAGTAATACATTTGATGATAAAGTTTGTTTGTAAAATCGAAAAATGTCAATGTTTAATTATGGGAAGAAACAAATATATCTGTTAAATTTTAAAAAAATCATACTGACTTTATTTATAGGAATTAAGAAATGACTTTTATCTTAAATTAAAGCTTAAACTTTAATCTTTAAGTCTATGTATAATAAGTAATACGTTTGATGATAAAGTTTGTTTGTAAAATCGAAAAATGTCAATGTTTAATTATGGGAAGAAACGAAAGTATTTGTTAAATTTTGAAAACTCATACCGAATTTATTTATAGGAATTAAGAAACGACTTTTATCTTAAATAAAAGCTTAAACTTTAATCTTTAAGTCTATGTATAATAAGTAATACGTTTAATGATAAAGTTTGTTTATATAATCGAAAAATGTCAATGTTTAATTATGGGAAGAAGCGAAAATATTTGTTAAATTTTGAAAAATCATACCGACTTTATTTATAGGTATTAAGAAACGACTTTTATCTTAAATTAAAGCTTAAACTTTAATCTTTAAGTCTATTTGTAATAAGTAATACGTTTTTATGATAAAGTTTGTTTGTAAAATCGAAAAATGTCAATGTTTAATTATGGGAAGAAAGGAAAATATTTGTTAAACTTTAAAAAATCATACCGAGTTTATTTATAGGAATTAAGAAACGACTTTTGTCTTAAATTAAATCTTAAACTTTAATCTTTAACAAATAAAATTCGTTTTTGCACTTAAATGGATTTTTATTTAAATTTTCTCTCAACCGGTTTCGCTATATATTTACAGCATCTCCAGGAGATTATCTACATTGATACAAATATTCTTATATAAAACTTAAATTAGCATGTTACATTATATGAACCATTATATTAATATTTAAAAAAAGACTTACGTCATTTCGTTATAAAAGTGTCCTATAAAATGAGTCATTTGATATTCCTTTTTATATTTGTATTATTGAACCACACAGAGAATTTTGTTGAATTATGATTGAAGAGGATTAAAAATTGTGTTAAGAATTGATGTGTCATGCGAGTGAGTGTCAAAGTTGATTTGAGGTTATATTTTTATTTATTTGGGGATTTTTCATTTTTCTTGTTTGGTAATTTAGTAAAAGTCGTTTCGTTTCGTTTATAATTTGAAAAGATAACACAAAAAAATCAAAAAAGTCTCTGAATTAATTATTAAAACCACTCATTTAAACTGGGGGGTATTATTAGGGTAGGTTGTAATACAGAATCTGTAGATTATTAAGGTAGGGGTTGTTAAAGGGATATTAAAGGATAGGTTGAAGAAGGGATAGGGTTGATATCCATGGGATCCAGAGTAGTGCGATTTCAGAACGACATCTTATTTTGAAATCCTCGTCTCTCTGGGGGGTATTTATTGGGTAGAGGTTAAATTATAGATTTTGTATTAACTTTTAGTGATTGTTATGGGATGAGGATAGGGTGGAAAGGATCGGGGGTGATGTCCATGGGACCCAGATTAGCGCGAGTTCAAAATGACATCGTGTTTTGAAGTCCTCGTCTATCTGGGGGTTTACGGGGTGGGGTGTAGGCTGTTTTAGGAAAGAGTAGAGTGGTTTGTATGTTGTCTGAATTTGGTCATTAAGACATGTCAAGTCAGGGTTATTATTGATGAATTTTTTGATTTCATATCCTTCAAGGATTTCCATGAGATATCCTTTGTTAATGTGATGTAGCATTTTTGTATTTTTATCTTCATCGAACTCGTGGTTAAAATTAAAGATTATGTGTTTGCCAAAATTAGAATTATGTATCATCTAATTTGTTTATTTTGTCTTTATTGTTTATGAGCAGATTGCCTATGGTTTTACTTGGTTTATCTGTAATTATAATGTCATATTGTTTCATGGTTTGTTTTATTTTGTTATTAATGCTTCCTTGGTGTGTGATGGATCTGTAGTCTTTGATTTTTTGTCTATTGATTTTGTAGTTGTGTAGTGGTATTTAAGTTCTGTCTATTTTGATATTTATGGATCACTCTGTCTATTACTTCATCTGGAAAAGAATTATTTATGGCAATATCTTTTATTATCTTAATTTCTTTGTTAAAAGTGTCTGTCTGAGTCGGTTTTCTGTATATTTCAAATTATATGTCGTGTTTGGTTTTGTCTATTGTGATATCAAGAAAATTGAATTTATTGTTGTTTTCGAGTTCTATTGTAAATTGGATGTCTGTGTGTAGTGTGTTAATGGATTGGTGTAAACCGTCAACAGTTTCTTTCTTTTCGGTGTTAATAATGACCAAAATGTCATCGACATAGCGTTGCCATATTAATATATTTTTGAGATAAGGGTTTTTTTTCACTTATTATGAGATTGGTTTCCAACTCATTCATAAAGATGTCAGCTAATAATCCGCTTAAAGGAGCGCCCATGGGGAGTCCCTCTTGAAATGTATATGTTTCATTTTGAAATTTACAGAAGTTCTGTTGTAACCAGATTTGGAATAGGTTAAGTATGTTTTTGCTATCGTTCTTAAAATGATAGTTAATAAGAATAATATTTGTTAAATTTTGAAAAATCATAACGACTTTATTTGTAGGAATTAAGAAACGACTTTTATCTTAAAGTAAAGCTTAAACTTTAATCTTTAAGTCTATGTATAATAAGTAATACGTTTGATGATAAAGTTTGTTTGTAAAATCGAAAAATGTGAATGTTTAATTTTGGGAAGAAACTAAAATATTTGTTAAANACGACTTTTATCTTAAATTAAAGCTTAAACTTTAATCTTTAAGTCTATGTATAATAAGTAATACGTTTGATGATAAAGTTTGTTTGTAAAATCGAAAAATGTGAATGTTTAATTTTGGGAAGAAACGAAAATATTTGTTAAACTTTAAAAAATTATACCGACTTTATAATATTAGGAATTAAGAAATGTCTCTTATCTTAAATTAAAGCTTAAACTTTAATCTTTAAGTCTATGTATAATAAGTAATTTGTTTGATGATAAAGTTTGTTTGTAAAATCGAAAAATGTGAATGTTTAATTATGGGAAGAAACGAAAATATTTGATAAACTTTAAAACATCACACCGACATTATTTGTAGGAATTGAGAAACGACTTTTATCTTAAAGTAAAGCTTAAACTTTAATCTTTAAGACTATGTATAATAAGTAATACGTTTGATGATAAAGTTTGTTTGTAAAATCGAAAACTGTCAATGTTTAATTATGGGAAGAAACAAATATATCTGTTAAATTTTAAAAAATTATACCGACTTTATTTATAAGAATTAAGAAATGACTTTTATCTTAAATTAAAGCTTAAACTTTAATCTTTAAGACTATGCATAATAAGTAATACGTTTGATGATAAAGTTTGTTTATAAAATCGAAAAATGTCAATGTTTAATTATGGGAAGAAACAAATATATGTTAAATTTAAAAAAAATCATACCGACTTTATTTATAGGAATTAAGAACGACTTTTATCTTAAATTAAATCTTAAACTTTACTTAAACTTTAATCTTTAAGTCTATGTATAATAAGTAATACGTATGATAAAGTTTGTTTGTAAAATCGAAAAATGTGAATGTTTAATTTTGGGAAGAAACTAAAATATTTGTTAAACTTTAAAAAATTATACCCACTTTATTTATAGGATTTAAGAAACGACTTTTGTCTTAAATTAAATCTTAAAGTTTAATCTTTAAGTCTATGCATAATAAGTAATACGTTTGATGATAAAGTTTGTTTGTAAAATCGAAAAATGTCAATGTTTAATTATGGGAAGAAACGAAAGCATTTATTAAACTTTAAAAAATCATATCGACTCTATTTATAGGAATTAAGAAACGACTTTTGTCTTAAATTAAAGCTTAAACTTTAATCTTTAAGTCTATGTATAATAAGTAATACGTTTGATGATAAAGTATGTTTGTAAAATCGAAAAATGTCAATGTTTAATTATGGGAAGAAACGAAAATATTTAATAAACTTTAAAACATCACACCGACATTATTTGTAAGAATTGAGAAACGACTTTTATCTTTAAGTAAAGCTTAAACTTTAATCTTTAAGTCTATGTATAACGAGTAATACGTTTGATGATGAAGTTTGTTTGTAAAATCGAAAAATGTCAATGTTTAATTATGGGAAGAAGCGAAAATATTTGTTCAATTTTGAAAAATCGTAGAATATTTGTTTTAAATGTGATTTAAAATAGATTATTTTAATAAAATTTTTTGATATCTCTGCCAGGTACCAATATTACCAATTTTTATTTATAAGCTCTAATCCGATTAAACATCAAAATTGTTGATTTTCGAAAATTAACTCAATTATAACTCAAAAACTAAAAGCGATGGGGAAATACTTTTTATACATAAAACCTTAGTAATGGACTATAAGAACTAGACCAATAACAAGATTGAACCCAATTATTACCATTTTTTATTTAAAAGCTCTAAATCGATTAAACATCAAAATTGTTGATTTTCGAAAATTAAATAACTCAAAAACTAAAAGCGATGGGGAAATATTTTTTATATATAAAACCTTAGTAATGGGTGATAAAGACTAGATCCAT